AAATGAGGTGATGGGTGAGAAATACCATGCCAGCGACAACACAAATGAGAAGCTTTATGTATACTGATATCACACACAATAGATTTTGTCACATATATATATAAAATTTAAATATATATAACATATGTTACATAATATATATAAATAAAATAAATAAATATTTTATAAATAAAATAATATATTATATAAAACCATATGTTATATAAATTTATAAATATATGTATATTTTATATATAAAATATATATATTAAAAGAGATGACAAAGTGCATCACAGTGAACAGTGAAATAATTCAGTATGGAGAAGAACCTATAATAAATGCATATATATATTCACAATGCTACATGCTAATAAAATGTGATTATTAATGGACATAAAGCGAAAGAAGTCTTCACTACAATAATAATGGCTGATAGCTACATTCCAACTTAGTAAATGGCCATATCAACTACACAAAAAATCAAGCAAGAAGTAACAGAGTTTATGTGTACTCTGGGTCAGTCAGACCTCAAAGTGTAATAGCTAGAATCATATAATGAATCTCTAAAACAAATCAACAATTCATGAAACTCTGGAATTATGCCATAAAATGGAGGCTCAACAACACATTATTGAATGAACAATGGGTCAATGGTAAAATTAAAAGAAACCTAGAAATGAATAATGAATAAAGATAATAGCACAGCATGTCAAGTTACAAGACACAACAAAAGGGATAAGAAAACCAATGCATAACTGCAATCAATGAACCACAAAACAGTATGAAGCAAACAATAATTAAAGATAGGTGAAATGTAAAGATATAATAGTCATACATATTAATCTATCAAATTCATCCAGTAAATGCAATACATATCACCATATGTAAATCAAGGAATATAAGAATAGTATCTACGGGATGAAGAATAAACTGTAAGGCCATTAAAAATAATCAGAAACATATTTGGATTCAAAACCCACCCTCAGAAAAAAATGACTAATTAAGTATAGAAAAACTCTTGTCAAAAGCATAAAGGATATATATATATATCAAAGTCAACAGCCACATCAAATTATGTTGTCAAAAGCTGAACTTCTTCCAAGATCTGAAACAAGCCAAGCATATCAACTTCTGCCATTCTTACCGGGAGGGGAAAGAAAGAAGTCGCTGGCTCAATAGAGAAAGAGAAGAAGTCCAATATTCATGTGTGCAGAGGACATGATGCTCTAAGTGGGAAAACCTAAAGAGGCAAATTTTATCACTGGCCCTCATGTCTGCCCACCATAGGAACCTTTGCTATTGCCACATGTTCCTCTGTCATGATCCCATTTTCAGCCCATTATTCATCACAGAAGGATTAGCCAGCTCCTGTTTCCCACCCACCCACATTCCAGGAGCAGCTCTCACAGTTCCAGTAACAACCAATACTTGGTAAGCAGAAAGTGAGAAAGAGAGAGAAGGGAGGGGTGGGGAGGAATGGGAGAGAAGAGTGAAAGAGGGAGAGAGGGAGGGAGAGGAACGAAGGAAGGAAGGGACAAGGAAGGATGACAGGGAGGGAAGAGTGGGGGAGGGAGGGAGGGAAGGTTGGGGGAGGGAGGGAGGGAGAGGAAGGAAGGGACAAGGAAGGATGACAGGGAGGGAAGAGTGGGGGAGGGAGGGAGGGAAGGTTGGGGAAGGGAGGGAGGGTAGAGGGATGGAGGGAGGGTAGATGGAGGGAGGGAGGGAGAGAGGGAGGGAGGGAGGGAAGGAGGGAGGAGAGGAAGGAAGGGACAAGGAAGGAAGGCAGAGAGGGAGGGAAGGAAGAGTGGGGGAGGGAGGGAGAAAATAAGAGAGTGTGCATTACTCTGCATTTGAAAGACCTGATATTACTTCAAGCTAATCCATAGTGAGCTGCTTCACTGCTGCTGTTTTTTTAGCTCTGAAAGTAGATCTATGTGCTGAAGAACATAGAGCACACCATATATTTTACAGGTCATCAAGAGGTTCTATCCAACCCAAGGTCTGTACTAAGCTGCTCTCCGTGTCATTGATACCTCTATATTGACACCTATCATTTGAAACCCTGGATGTTTATCAAGTAATGCAGGAAGGAGAAAGTCGTTGAATACAAGAATCACAATGTGGCTGCTATTTGGGCTCAGTCACAAGCATTCCCTGGGCGTCTTGGGGAAGACATGACTTCCAATACCATATGGCCCTGTGCTCATTCCTGTGGGCAAACTCTATGAGCCCAGTACTTAGAACCCTACCGCCCAATTGAAAGGCCCAGATGTAACTCCAGACAGCCCAATTCTGTCAGCATGTAGACTGCCATTTGGGAAGCCAACCAGGAGCAAGCTAAACATTGTGGAGGCTCTCTCATCCAGATCCATTTCTGAGTGTGTGTGACAGACCTTCTCTGTTTTGTTCACTCTCACTGTGTGCCTTTACATAATGAACCTACACAGTCCATACGATATGAATAGAGAATATTTATTGTGACTTTACTTTTGAAAAGTTAAGCCCACTGGTTTTTGCTGGCAATGTTTTTATTATTTATTTATTTATTTATTTATTTATTTATTTATTTATTTATTTATTCATCTTTCTTGCAATCACTTAGGCTTTAACAGAAAAATAATGCTGGACATTCTCAGACTTTTAACTTGTTGTGAACCCACACTGTGACACGGACAGTGCAGTCCAACTAGGGTTCCTTAACATTCAGGGCAGCACAAGCTGCCACTGAAAGACTCACACTTCGCAACACTGCTAACATTTAGTTGCCTGCAATGTGAGGATCATGCCTGGAAGTTGGCAAGAAGAGTTCCCAAGAACGTGCGTTCCCAAGTTCTTGTCTGCAATACAGGTCGACTTGAAATCCCAAGGACAGGGGATCCAGCAACCCACAGCATGGTGGGGCAGGGAGCCCACCAAAGCCACCCAGGACCCACCACCAGAGCAATCGTATATTAGCCCACTCTGGGCACGTGTCCTTCCACATGCTTTTCTTCCAGCAGACCCACAATGGCTGCCTCAGCATGCCTACACCAGAAACATGGCCCAGCAGCAGGGCTGAACCCAGGCAGCCCGTGTCAGACAGGAGGGCTGCTGTCTGCCCCCTTCACCCGCACCCTGCATCCCTGGTACAAGGCTGAGCTGGGCACACCCCGCAAAGGCTCCCCTCCCTGTGCACAGGGAGCCTGGGGCCAGGCTCAGGTTGACACACTCGCTTTCCTGTTCGCACACCGCACTTCCCGGGAGAGCTCAGCACGCTGGGGGTGGGTCGGGGGTCCACTCCACGCACTGCGTCGCCCCGCCCCGCGTCAACGCCGAGATCTCTGCGCATGCGCCTGGCGTTGGCCTGTCGCCACTTCCGGGAGACAGTGCGGGGCCCTGGGGTGACCCGGGCAGTGTTCAGGCAGGGAGAAGTCGGGACATTCCCCACACGCTCCTTTCAGGATGGCAACAGCTGCAGACCCGGGCCCAGAATCCACTGAGGTGGAGTATGGCTGTGGTGCGGGGCGGGTAGAAGGGCCAAGAGGGGCTTTAGGAAAGAGGCCCTACATGGAGCCTCCTCGCAGGAAAGGCGGCAGGGCCTGCGCAGCTACCACTGCCGTCAGGTGCCAGGCGGTTTGTGTCCATTGCTGGGAAAAGGGGCCCTGTGTCCGTTCTGAGGAGAACCCCAGGAAAGTGAGGTCTGTGAGCTGAGGGAGAGAGTCCGGCCCTGCTGGGCGGCAGCAGCATCAACATGGCTGCTGTGTACTTTGAAGGTGCTGGGGTAGTGGCTGAGCAGGAGGTGGGAGGAGCGTGCTGGAGGGAGGTGAGCAGAGGAGGAGGAGAGGAGCAGGAGCTCCTAGCAGTCTGTGTTGCCCACCAGGAAAGGCGGCATGAGAACCAGCAGGCCCCACCGGCATTTGGGTCAAGGACACCCCAGTTACAAGTGTACCCTGGGAGACATCCATCGACCGTGGCCCATGAGAGACTGAAGCAGAGGCTGCTGCAGAAGCTGAAGCAGAAACGCAAGGTTCTGATGGAACGCAGAGGGATGATCATCCACAACCTCCCTGGCTTCTGGTCTAAAGTTGTATCCTTTTATGTGCTGAGTCAGAGTCGAGAGTGTAGCCAGTTACCCAATTAGCATTGAGGAAATGCATCACTGTGAAAAAGTGTCTGTTGTGAGGAAAGTGAATTTCCTCCACAGCACATTAAAACACTCTAGGGAGGCCTGGAGGGCATGCTGACTGAACCTACACTGTTATGCACAAGTCCACCAACTGTCAAGGTATTCCTCCAACTTGGAAGGAAGGTTCTTTGAAAGCACAGTCTTGCCTGTGTTGGAGACTTTAGGGTAACAGAACGATTCTCCAACCCAGTCACTGACAACTGGTTGGAAGACTACTGCCAATAACTGTGATGCTTGAGGTGGCTCTCAAAGGAAGCACCAGCTCGGTGTGGATCCTGTCAGAGAAACGAGATTCTTGTCTTTGCCATTGCTGCCAGGTTGCCAGTAAGAACCTGTGGCACACAGAGGTATGAAGTGCTCGGTGCAGTTCATCCTTAGCTCACAAGAATCAGGGCTCTCACTATACTGAGGACAGAGGCCCTCCTTTTGTCCACCACTTAAAGATTAACATGTACCAGGAGCTCTTATTTTAGGATGTATTAGGACCTTGTGATCCAGTAATATTAATAACCCAGCTGTGCATTGTGTAGGTCTGAATTCTAGTCCCACATGATGAGACTCGAATTCGATATTCATGATTCTGTTGTATGTTCAAACAGCTCTGAGAATGTGATGCTTGCTCTTCACTTATTTCCTGTGAGTTGTGAAAATGAAATATCCAGACAAGTCTTGGAAGACAGAAGATCTACGTAACGATATATTAAGGAACACCCAACAACTATGGTTTCTTGTTTCCACTTCCCGTTCTTTCCATATTCCCCTTGCTTTTGGCTCTCTTGTGCGCACACACACACACACACACACACACACACTCACACTCACTGAGCTTTTCTTGTGAAATTTCCTTGATAGATAGTTTGTGAACCATTCCCCGATATCTCCCATCATCTGTGATAAGGACGAAGACATCCTTAGCTACATGACCAACCTACAGGTGAGTTCCTTGAGCCTCAGGCTAGTCCTATTCAGAAGGCACTGTGAGTAACAGAAGTAGTTTAGAACAGTTGAAAGGAGACTCACTGGTGAAAAATCAGCATGCTCCATCTTATCCTGACAGGTGGTCAAACTCAAGCATCCCAGGAATCGCTTCAAGATCAGGTTGTTCTTCCGCAGCAATCCTTACTTCTCTAACACAGTGATTGTTAAGGAATATCGAGCTAACATCAATGGTGAGATGTTACTAAGAGAGTGGATATTTGACATGGGTGACAGGTAACTGGCGATGTGATCTGGCTCTGTTCTGCATTCTCATCCCTTAGGCTATAGAGCATATCGTTCCTCTCCAATTAAGTGGCTTCAGGGTTATATGGGTGAAGCTCCAAGGTGCATGGCATATAACAACAGTGTCAGCATGTTCAACTGGCTTGTGGACCACAACTGTCTAGACCGCAGCAGGATTGCTGAGGTGGGTGCTCACTGGGGGAAATTCTAAGTGCATGTTGGAAGTTCCGGGGCAACTTAACAGTGAGCTAATTTGTCCTTATTCTTAACAGATAATCTGCAAGGATATTTGGCTCAAACCCCTGCCATATTACCTTGGGACTGAGGCAGCTGAAGATGGAAAGGAGAAAGGTGATGAGCAGCCCGTGTCCTTGGGTAAGAGCTTGTGTGTAGGGACATGGTCCCTTAATTCCCAAAGGGTGTAGCTGAAGTTTAGTGGAGAAAAATGGGATTCACAAAATTCTGGTCAGCCTGCCTATCAGAGTGAAGCTGATGTTGGAAGAAGTATGATACAAACTGGCTCATGGTTGTATGTGAACACAAACATGTAGGCATGCTTATGGCCACCCACGCAGATACTAAATAAATTTGAAGCATCACTTCACTTTAACAGACCTGTTCCTGGCCATCAATGTCAAGTCCATCTTCAGCTCCATACCAGAAAGTTATATTTTTGTTTCATCTTAAGTTTCTTTCATCACTGATTTCAGAAATATCCATGACTATTTAGGTTACATCTTTGTCCTAAGACACATTAGGAGTTTAGATTTTAATAATAGATGTCCTTGTATTTTAATATATGTCAATGTATTTTTTCAGTGAACACTAGCAATTGCTCTGGAAGAAGGGCAAACAGATTTTAATCCCTCTCATTAGTGCTCTCTTGTGGGAGCGCTAATGAAGGGTCACACGTGAGTTTTGGATAGCTTTCTATGCAGATCCTTTCCATTTTGATACACATTTAGTGTTGTTCTGAGGGGGACATGTGTCCTTATGAATTTGTGTGTTTCAGAGAGCTTTTCATTTAGACTGGAATCTGTTGGAGATGTGTAAAAACCCTGAAAATCCTGGTATGGAATATATGAGCTTGTCTGCCACATCACTGAAGGAAGATACAGACCTCGAGTGCACATTGGGAACAGCTGTGTAAACCCAACCTAATACAATAAATTCTGTGATGTGCATGTTGTGTGTGTTCCAGTGATTCTACGCCAGATTGGGAAAAGAAATGTAGATCAAGTCCACATGAGATTTCCTGTTCCAAGCCTGGGATGTGCTATTCTGTACAGTTTTTGGGCTAAGACCATTGTAGAGATGGGTTAAGCCTGCCCTCAAATACCAGTGCCAGAATAAGTGTTTCAAAATAAGTATTTCAAAAAACCGTTTTGTATTGGAAGCAGAGAGAAAAGAGGAAGCAGGGATGTTTGGAGTTCTTCTTTGTTGAGTCCAGCTCCTACAACAGAAGCCTTGTGATAAAATGCTCCAAATAAGGGATTAGTGATGCTCTTCCTCGCTTTTGATATTGACCTGGGTAGCATATGCAAGAGTCAGTGCAGGTCAGAACTGATTCCAATATACAGTCATCAGGAACTTCTTACAGGCTTCCCGCATGGGGGTAGGGACCAAAGTACTACGTTTAGCCTCTGCTTTCCCAGCCCCAAATCTGGGAGTTACATTTGAAATGGAGCAGCCAGGAGTAGACTGCTGCGCATATGGGATGCCAGCACTACAGTCAAAGTATTAGCCTGCTTCCTTGCTGCACCAGCCCCAGATGTCTTTTTTATGAGTTTGTAATATTCTATAGTGGATAAGAACCACAATTTTTACATACACTTAACTATTGAGTGACTTCCAGGATCTTTGTCTTAGTTCATATGGATTGATTTGCTAATTACAAGGTATTAAAACTAAGCCTGCCATGCCCTGGTTTCATTTGGAGTAGGTAATTCCCATGAGTGTGATGGCTGGATTATTCACTGTTGGTGGGATTACCAATTAGTCTTCAATTTGGTAGAATAGAAAGTGTGCTGATATCTGAGTATGGGCAATGATGTCTTAAATACTAGCATAAACAAAAATCCTTGAGGTGTTGGTTTTTTTTTTTTTGAAATCTTAACTGTAGTACTGATTTTTTCAGTGCCTAGCAGATATCTGTGCTTCATTGATTCAAAAAACCTCTTAATGACAACAGAATTTCTCATAATCATTTTTTCATGATTTTCAATATATAAAACATTAAATGCCACCTTACAAGAGTACAAATCTAAATTGTAAGAGGCCAAAATGTAAACCTATTAAAAACTTTACCTGGGGAATATAAATGTTTTAAAATATTATAAGAAAATTGAAAAAATGTTAGGATGCCTGGAAGTAATTTCAATCATGCACAGCATAAATTATATTTTAATCTCTCAGCTCTGTATCTTTTTTTAATTTTTTTTTTACTTTTTCCATTTTTCATTATATTTTTGCAATCTTTACATAGTTAATTGGGGAAAAAAGTTCAAGGGCTACAGCAAAGTGGTTAACACTTTTATTTCTCCATTTTTTCCTTCATGTATCTGAGGTAAAGGGGGTTATAAGGGAGAAGCTCAGCCCAATTTCCCACCTACCCCAGGTCCTGGATGTGGGGCATGCTCTGAGATACTTGCTCAAGTGGTTTGGATATTCACCAGTTATGAATCACTGCCAATCTCGCCACTCCAAGCATTATGAGTTTGTTGAAGAATCCACTGTTTGACAGTTCATCTTAAGAGTTTCTGCCCTGTTTTTCACTGCCAACATATGGCTGAGGTGGTTGATTGACCTGTTCTGTCCTCTGTCTCTTCATGGTTAGGGTTCTGAGTCCAGCAGTTCAATTGGGGAGATCCCAAAAGAAACTTTGTCTGAGTGTTCTCAGACCAGATTCTTGTGTTTACTAGCAAATACAGGGCCCGGCACAGTTCATTGCTCCACTCAGCTGGTGGTTGCAATTGCTGGGTTTGTTCTGTTATCAGCCCCAACTTCCACTGGAACCAATGGGCATTGCAATCCAGCCTGGTTCTGCCCAGCATATACTTGGCCCTCACATTAAAAAGTGGGAACTGCAGCTTAGTTGGAGCAACTCACAATAACCCCCACCAGGCTCGCCCCTTACCCTGGTTTGCCAGTACGTACAGCAGACTAGTCCATTCTGTCTCTCATCCCATTTGGCTCTCATAAATGTCAATGGGCATTGAAACCTAGTTCCATCTAACTAGCTCCACTATGAAGTCCACACGGATGTTGTTGGGTGCCTTTCTGTCTAGCCATCCCCAGCACCTCTCCTAGTTTCCATGCCTTCTTGTGGTAGAGGTAACCCAAGAAGGAGGATCCCACTATTTCCTTTCCAGGCCTCTCCCACTTCCGGATTATGCACTCTCCAGGTGGTTCTGCAGTGTAACTTGACAGAATCAGGCCCCAGCCAGCTTCTGCCAGCTAATGCTGTGGCTATGCCCAAACAACCCTCATATATATTTTTTTCACTACTTGGAATAATCAGCCCAGACTGGCTTTTGCCTGCTCTGTTCCACATGAGGCACACAGGTGTTGTAGCCTTGTTTAGTCAGGTCTGCGCCCTTCCCAGCTCATGCTCTCCAATGGGAGTAGCTGTGAAGTAATGGAAGCACCACCCAGATTCCCCACTGCCGGCTCCGCCCCTTCCCTTTCTGGTTCTCACTCGTGCTGGATGGGCAGTACAGTCACGTCTGGTACAGGCAACCTCACGTTGGTATTCCGTATTGTATACTGGTCTTTGTCGTGACCAAACCTAGCTCGACCCACAGCCCACTCTGGTGCTCAGATTTGTCAGTGGATGTTGTGAACTGATTCAGCCTGGTCTGACCCTGACCCATGACAAATGTATGCCAGTAGGCAACTTTCCTTGTCCTGTCTGGGCTGTTTCCTATCATGCTTTTTGCGCTTACCTGCCGGTTCTGTGTCCTGCCAGAGGAATTGCCTAGTCTCCTCCATCAGAACCTCTCCCAATGCCAAATTTTGGGCATGCCAGTGGGTCCATGAGCCAGCCCTACTCAGTTCACCTCCTGTCCTAGCAGGAACAGTGGTTTTTCCTGACTGGCCTTCAACCCAAGCTAGTTCTTACTGTTGGATGCTTCAGCCCAGCCACGGAATGTCCATACCCACATACAGCTCACACATGGCTCAGTAGGGGTTGAGACCTAGCCTAGTCTGTCCCACATCTACCCTGGTCCTCCAGAGCACAAGAAGGTGTTGGAATCTGGCCCTGCTTGGTGTGTACAGTCCCAGTCCACCCTTGCGTCAAGGGAATCTACAACCGTGTGCTGAACGCAGTCCCCATTCCAACACCATGCTCCTTGGTGGGAACCTCAATCCAGTTAAGGTTGTCCCCTTAGCTCCCCAACCAGGCCTGTTCCCAGCCATAGATCATATGCATGCCAGTAGTTGCTCTGACTCAGCATGGCTCTGTCCCCAACCTGCCTGGCCTCTGCCTTAGACACTGTGGCTTAGCGTTCTGGCTCAAGCAGACCAGTAGGTGCAACATCCTAGCTCGGCATAACCTGTGCTCTATGCCGGTTTCTAGTTTCAGTTGTGGGTTAAGGTTTGCTCAGTTCTGCCCAGTCCACTCCATTCCATTACCTACCAACCCACACATTACGCAGCTGTTGGAGCTACTTTGCCCAGCTTATCCAACCCCCAGGTCTGACCCACATGTCACCAGTAGGAGCTATGAATCATCAGGGGAGTTTTACAAGTTCCTCAATTTGATCCACTCCCTGACCCAGTTCTCATATGTGCTGTTGCGTTTTATGCCAGTGCCCAGCGAAGTCTGGCCTTCCATTTGGCCTTGTATGAGCTTGTGAATGTTGCAGTCCGGCCCACCCCTCACTCTATTCAGGATGCACATTCGGGTGCTGCTGCCTTGACCAGTCCAGACAGTGGTCGGTTGCTTTAGCTGTAAGTGAAGGCATGCTCCTGGGTCACACCTAGTTTAGTCCATCACCCCTTCAATTCTTGAGCTACCCAGTAGGGTTAGTATTTCCACAGGGTATGTCCCACACATCCACCATAGAATCTACATCTGGATGTGGTTCTCTTGTGTGCTAGTTAATCTCATGGCCACGTCTAACATGACCCTATTCCTGATCCATTATCATGGTCCTGCTAGATAACCTCCCAAACCTTAGCTTTTGCATGGACTGGTGTTTGGTGCTCACATTATTCAGTGATTAAAAGTACTACACAGTATTTAAAGGAGTTTGGTTTATCAGTCCTATCCATAAAAATCACCTAGTCCTTCTCCTCCAACCTACTAGGTCTCATTACCCTTCCTTACCTTCACAGGAAAAGTTACTCTGTTGTTGCAAGTCTTTAGGATT